GAACAAAGGGTATCCAAACAAAATAACCATTCTCACAGAAATTTAAACTTGTATGATAGTGGAACGCACTCTTCAATGAGAAAAATTATTGTCAAATGTATTACTTTTAAGCCCTTTGTTGCGTCTGTACAGTTTCTGATATTTTTTGGGGGCAGGAAATAAGCCTGTGGACAGCGAGGAAAGCTAACTTTTCTTTTATCCCAAAATAAAAATGTGGAAATTCTAATAGTGCCAGTGAAGAATAAAATTGAAACAATAAAACGGGAATCTTCTTTCTTCACCTGCTCAAATTTGATGCGAACAATAAAGGCGGCACATCAAAACAATACCGGGCGAGAAAAAAAAAAAATCCAAAACAGTTAAATTTCGCATGTTTTCTTAATTTTCTTTATCAAGTGAACTAGGGTGTCGGCTTAGGGTGTGACAGAGAAGTATGCGAAAGTCTTGCACGTTTTGGTATTGATCGAGGTTTGGAGACATTGGTGATGACGGAGAAGAAGGATATCATACACTGGGGAGATTAGCAACGATACACTTATTACAGCAATGCCACTTGTAACACATGCACACAACACGACCAGAATCAGACATTTCCCGTTTTAATATAAGGTAAGAGACTGAAAGAGAGCGAAAATAGAATCCGAGTGCCGTGCGCTAAAAGGGTTAGGGGAGATAATTGCCACTACAAACTACGAGAGATGGGACCTTCCTTAGACTGTAATCTTAACATGCTCCTGTATGGGGCCTCTCCGGAAGACTCGAAGCTAGCCTCGCGCAGTCTGGTGTCGAAGATTCTCACAAAGTCCCTCAAATCGATTCATTAAGCCTTGAGCAATTTATTTCTCCAAATATATCTCAAGTGTGCTAATAGGAGAATCTTTGTTTTCAATATAGGCCTCATAAGCATAAGCGATACAGTTTCTGATGGAGCTACAAAAACATTAGTCCTGAATATTGAAAGTCACAGCACTATTAACTGTTCCAAAGAATTTGAGCCCGATGTATTAAATACTTTTTGGATGACATGGGTTTGAAAACACTGGAAGTTTTACAAAGAATGTATGAGCTCATTAGCGCTATTGCCACCGAGAAATTTTGTAGTTTTTGAATCCCAACTTCTCCTCAAATATTACACCCAGTAAAGATTCAACAATTCCTAAGTTTTAGAAGCTCTTGAAATGTCTTAGTCGATTTGTGTCTAGCGTGATGCCTTCTCTGCGCAAAGTCATATGCATATGTAATGAAGAAAAATGTCAACAATGAAGCCAATAAAGGTGACAAGCATCCTTAGTAGCACATGTATCGCTTATCTTAGCATGATAAAAATCACACGTGCTTTAATTTGAACAAAAAGTAACAAAGGACTCCGTCAACGAGACTGGCCGGGGAAATTCGTTCCAAGAGTTCTTTATTTCTTTCTGAAAGGCGCGAGGCGAAGCTCCTTTTCTTTGTACTTAAGTCCATGAGCCAGGCGGGAGATGATACAGCTCAAATCACCGATTTCGCTCAAACTTGGCACAAATTTTGGGTTTGGGGATCCCCTGCAAAAATGGCCATTTGACTCTTATTTATGCATATTTAATTAGCCATCTTAGGTTCAGTATTTCCACAACAAGAAAAGCCTGGGAAAATAAAATCTACTAGATTATGTTTTCATTTAAAATGTGCCCGCTGCGGCCTCGGGCAGCATTTTCAAGACCTCGGTCAAAGTTTTTCACCATACGGACCTCCCAGCCGGCAAATAACATATATTTCTTACACTGTAATTCATTGGCTTGAAACAATTAGTATAGGTAATCGACGGTTTTTCTCATTCAATTTGGAATTAATTTGCATGAGTGATTTTTTCAAAAAAGGTGAAATTGCACGAGCCGCTTTTATTAATAATATAAACATGAACAAATTCGCGTGGAGGAAGTGCCATTTTTTATCATCCGAAGTTTCCGGACAAAATTTTCATCATCACTTTACGTAATATCATTGGCTTAGAAAATTTCCTATTGTTTTTCAGCGAATCATAATCCAGAATTACGATGTGCAATTTGCACTGGTGTTACACTTGAACTGCACTGCTCTCAGCCAATCAGAATTGTGTAATTTTTTCATGTATATTATTAGTATTGTTATTTGAGAATGGTCCCGGGGACTCATTCGCTCACATCAACAAAGAAGCCGTTGAGGCTCGCTGTATATATTTCTGAGACGATGTTGTTTTCTACTAATAGAAATGCTACCTTTATTTGATGGCTTCCAGTAGTCCAATAGTCAAGGTTATTGACACTAATTAATATATATGAGGTTGCTGTTCAAATTTATTTCCTCCTGTTTTTCTAGGCTCATATATATAAGCCCAAGGGAGAAATGGATTTGAAAAATTACTGAGGAATTTCTTTTTAAAATAAATGGGCAAGGTAGTGAAAAAAACAAGTAACAGTAGAGAAAGACAAGCTGAAAAGTTAAAGAAACTGATCACCAAATAGAAGTTCTCTGAATGTGATGCGCCAATTCCTTAAAACTGCGTTACAAAACTAAGGTCACTCTTAAAGCAGGAAGGTTAATCCGAGTTGTCTAAACCCGTGAGTTGGTCAACACATATATTTTACATCCGCTTATTACGTAACTAGCAAATAAGCAATTTCCCTAAACTCCGAGTTCCGTTTCAGCAGGTTGAATAACCAGGAAGGGATCGAGTTCCCAAAATGAGGAACATAAATTCTTCGCTAATCACTTGTACTGATCAGTTTATAGAGGGACGGCTAGTTCACAGTTCAGTCAATACTAGTTACACAGAAAGATCGTCTCCACAACGCGCGGAAATAAAACATTTTGGAAGGTAGGTTGTGCGAAATAGTCTGTTGTTATTTAGTCTTTTATGTCCTATAAACTCATTTTGGCGACCTTGCTTATGCTAGCTCTGATCGACGTGCGGTGAAATCCCGATTTCTCGGACTCTCGCCAATTGTCCGAACCTACATGTAGAAGTACCTCCCGATAACTCGAACCAAAACTCGTTTCCCTCTCCTCAGTCGAAAACTGTAATTTTAGATAACTTGGTTTTATCAAATGGGTTGATAATGTGAATTGGCCACCGTAAAGAGATTCGCCGAATCTCTTTACGGTGGCCTTTCGTGGTGGCCTCTCCCTACGGTCTCTTTTTTCGAGCTTTCGAATCTCTTTACGGTGGCCAATTCACATTATCAACCCAGTTGATAAAACCAAATTATCTTGTTATACTCCCCACCGACGCAGCACCACAGTTTCTTTAGAAACTTACCCCCTCTATTCACTTTAATTTTAGCGCCGATTTCTCGAACCATCCGATTGTTCAAACCAATTTTCGTTTCCATTAGAGGTTCGGCAAATAGCAAATAGGGATTCCACTGCGTTAATACCCAACGTTTATGTTGTCTCAAAAGGCTACTGCTTATCAATCTCAGGCTTATTTACCGAAGTATTTGTTACCGGATTTTTACGGCCCGAAAACGCCGGCCTTTATTATTGTCATTGGGGTTTCCAGGTGTTCATTATGTTTTGCGTATGTCTTTTAAAATAGTGCTGAATTCTATGATGTCATAATTACATATTTGAGGTTAGAATATTCTATACTTTGCCCCAGTGGTAACAAATTAAAGCCCACTGCACACTTCCGCTAATCAATTTATCTCGGCCTTCAGGAACTTGCAATGATTAATTAGACAGCAAAAACTAGATTTGAAAAAGAAACTGAAATTTCACCTATAACCTATATTTGCCTTTCAGTTGAGACAAATATTTACAAGGCAAAGCCGAGAGTTCTGTCTAAGCTGAAGCGGAAGCCGTTGAACACTCGAGACATGGCTGGTCACGCTAACGACTCAGCTTCCGTGATTCAAATGGCGTGACAACAGCTCAGTTAATTGCTTTTATTTTGTTTTTGTTTCTGTATCTAGAGAACGGTTTGGAATATGTAGCTCAAAAAAGCATCAAGCATATCTCAGCGGAACATAAACAACTCCTATCTTCGGATCACGTTGTACATCGGCTGCAGAAACTTACTTGATTTGTAACTCGAAACGTTTTAGATGATTGTTTTCATATTTGTGTCACGGCTATTTTGTTTTCGCAAAATATAGCAATAGATTAGTAATTTCTGGCAATGTAAAATTTTAGGCAAGTCCAAACATTGCTGAAGCAGGATCGAAATATTTTGTTTCTTATTTACCGGTCTTGATTCATTGTGAATCTGCTCTCCTGCAGCAACTGTCACGTCAAGTTATGCGAACTATCAGAATCACTATTGGCTTTTATTTTGTGGCTGAACTGGTCCGAGATTAAAATAAGATTCTGATTGGTTCTCATAACGGTCTAAATTTTCACGAATTTGCTATTTAGTTACTTTTTCAATTCATTACATGGTATTAATATATATCTTTTTATTAGTTGTAATGGGTAGTATAGTCCAATTTATAACCTTAAATTTCAGTCGCTTCTTGGGTCTTACAGATTGCCTTTATTTCTTCAATTTTATCTATAGCTTATTGCCTTTGGCATCAAGATGAAACTTTTGCTGTTGTTCGTTGCGTTCATGATCCCTCTTCTAACCTCCTCTGCCGCTTATGGTGGATTATCCGGTGAAATGCAAGTAGAAGAGAAGATCAAGGGTCTTGTCAGTGTTGCTCAGCTTTCCGAAGGTGACATCATTCGCGGAATCACAGGAATTGACCAGACCCCTGACTGGTGCAGGGTAGAAGCCGCCATTCCTTTGTCTCAGGACCAGACCACTTATGATGGGTTCACAGAAAACCACATGGTCGTCGATGACACTGTTCATCCGTACGGTACCAAGGGAAAGCGGCGCACGGGACCAGTCTTTACACTTGTCACAGACTGCGACGCCGCCGTGAATTCTGCCGGTCAGGCCTTCACACCCATTAGTACCTTACTCTGTCCGCCTGAGCTGAGCTGGGACGAATATCTGTCCTTAATTGCCGCAGTGCGACAGGCCATGCTTCTCACCGACAACTTCTGGTATATCTTGAATGCATATCGCGACAACGAGACTGCAGGGGAGCTGGACTGGTCCGACCTCGACGTCTGCACTGAACTTCTGCAGTGCACACGGGAAGGCCAATCAAAGTGTAAGACGTTTGAGGAAGTAATGGAAAGGTTCGTGCGAGAGCATCTGAACAAGAAGCATGCGAAGAACGTTGAGAAAGCTTTCATCGACATGAGCGACAATGACGCTGATGCCATCACCGAAGTACATGGTACAAGGCGAAGAAATCGTATGCTTCTTCTCTCCTCCATAGGTACAGCCATGGCGCTGATGGGCTTGATCCTGGCCGTCGGATTATTGATGTACTACAGACGAATAGCGAAGAAAAAGGCAGATCATTCCTTCACGAAAGCTGGGGATACAAAGGCGTAAGAGATGATGGAGAATGGTCTCAGCAAAGTCCAACTATATTGTTTTGTTGGCACCCAGTCAAGCAGCTTTTAATTTTTATTTTGCTCAGTAATGCATGGAATCAGTTTCATCAAATAATAATTAATTGATTGAACTATACATCAAAACACATCCTAGTATTATAGCGAAATCTTCCTTAATGCCCGTTTACACCAGTATGTTAAACACGTTTAAAAGCGGTTAAACTAACTGACACGGTTAAAAATTAGTTGCTCATACCGTGCGAACCCAATACCTTAACAAGCTCAGGGAAAACCTGTTTGATTAAAATATGTTAGCAAGGTGGTTTGAAATTTGTCTTGTCAAAATGACTGCAAAGCGTAATCGGGAAATTAGGAAAACCTAAACCTGATTGATTTAAACTAGTTTAGTTGGTGTGAATGGGGCATTAAGGTCATTCCCCAATATTGCATTGCGCATCCCTACTGCGCATAATTTCACGCGTGATTAGCGCGTGCGCATTAAAAAATTTCGGCTTTTTGTTTACAGCTGGACCTCGCCATAGAGGTAAATCGTCATTTTCTCGCAAACGAGTATGGTGACCTATCGTTTTCTGCTGTTGTTTGAATTGAGTAATAAATTTCTCTGTGTAAAATAAATATGGACCAATTCACAGTGTAGAACAAAAAACAACCGTCGGWAACGTGAATTTAGCAAGCAATCGTGACTACAATCATGATGCTATTATAAGGATTTATATGGGTATAAACAAGGTGCTGTTGCTTCTAAACGAACATGGGGAACCCTCATTTTTATTTCAAAATTTAAATTCCTATAATATAAACAATCAATAGGCAAAGTTTCACAAAAATCTCAGTGCAGGTTCTATTTCAGAGGAATGACCTTAAATAGACTGCAAGCAGTCTCTTTCTTTTCCTAGCGTGCGACAAAGCATTCCTAAATCTTCGGTAATTTTAAGAATTTTCTATATCTTTGATTGCTCGTTCTCTCAAAAAGGTTTACGCCACCAACCTATATTGCCTTTTACCCGTAAATAATTAAGAGGCAGTCATGTGAGACAAGTGTTTAGTATACGTCAATATCTAGACGCGAGCAGTTTGACAATTAAGACGACTTATACGCATGCGCTTTACCAGCATGTCAGACTTGCAGAGCGCTGAGCGCACATAGAATGCAGAACAGAGCCGAGTAACATACACAGCTGTGTTGTGAGGTACGAAAAGCCATTCAATAACTGGAGGTAATTGAATTCCCATAATTTCGTTAAACGACAGTTGTACCTCAACGGATTTAAGATCAGTGGAATCCTAATTTCTCGAACTCTCGAAATTTCAAACCACTCAATAACTCGAGACAAAGGTCATTCTTCCCCTCAGTCGAACACTGTAATTTTACCCCCGATTTCTCGAACTGCCCCGTATTTTTTCGTTTCCCTTGGAAGTTCGAAATATCGGGATTCCACTATAGTTTTAGTCATCTTTATCACTAACTTAGCTCGGATAATTAGAGTCACTAAATAAACCCGTGTATTTTCTTATTAGCTTGCATCATCTGCTTAAGAGCTTTCTGAGAAATCTTGATGCATCTAGTCAGTATTTCTTCATTTACAATCGGTAATCTGTAGATTTGAAATCTTGCGACTTCATTTTGTAATCATTTTATGTAATTATTAAATCCAAGAATTTCAAGTGGAACTCATATGGTTTATTCAAAATGGTAGCCTCGTTAAGTGAGAATAAACGTCCGATCTATTTCTGTGCAGCGTCTGTACGTAGTCTCCCAAAAATCTAATTATGTATTTCAGGACTGTATGGGAGCGTAAATAGTTTTGATAATTTTCATTTTAAGGGTATGATCCTAGTTAAGAAATACTTAAGTGTAATGTAACCATCATTGGCTGAATCAGGTTCAAACCCATGCTGAAGACACCGAATCTTAAATTAACTTTCTCGTGTGCAGAGTTACAACCTGACCAAATTTGCAATAAAAGAGAGCTTCGATGACTAAGTGATATTTTCAGTCAGTCTAATAATAGCAGCTTTTGCTCTCAGGTTCTAAAAGTGGTAAGCATTGACCCGAAACATTCATTATTTTGCAAACGGTTGACAACGTATGTACGCAAAAAATCAGATCATCTGCTTTCGACACACAATCTCGAGAGACGATTTGAAACAGTCAACGCTACTGCACATGTACTAGGCTCGATTTTTCCGTAAAATACATAGCCCTGTTGTACATAATAAAATGCAAGACGCGTCTGGCAATTCTGAATGAGGACTGGCAACGAGTCAGCCGAATTGTACGCAGGCAATACCCTACTCAAAACGACAACAAGCTCTGTTATGACATCTTAATTCATGACATGTCTCAACTCTCGATCGACAATTAGCATCTAAACTCTTGTTGACGTACATTATTCTAAGTATCGTATCATCGGCGTCTTGCTTTTGTTTCTGATGTAGTGACCTGTAACCCAACGAAGATTGAATTGCTTTAGAAAAGCCAAATGCGTAAACTGGAAGTTGCTTCCGTCATCAAAACTCGTTAACCTTGCTATGGTCTGTCACACTTTTTTTATTACCAGAAGATTGTTTACCGGCTATTTTAGGCTGAAAATATTCTTGTGAATAATGTTCTTAGATTAGAGCAAGAGATTATGATCATATTCTCTTGAAAACAAGACAGAAAAGCTCTGTTTTTCCAGAGGTTGCCTTATAGTTGGTCTCTTTTCAGCTGCGACTGTATTGGTGTTTAAAACGACTAAAATTATGTTCCTATCTGAAACATTTTTTAGATCAAAGTGAGGAGAAAGATATTGGCGAGTGAACCGTGATATTGAAAGGCGAAACGTGAAGAAATTACAAAGTAATAAGTGAATAAATCAGAACAATATTGACGGCCCTTTAGTACCACGCCAGAGAAATTGAAAACGGCGTTTTCGCTCCGAAAACGTATTAAATGCTTTGTATCCACACCTCGCCGGAGACTGATCTGAAAACGCAACAAACCCTGGCCGTTTTGGATTTGTGTGTGGGCAAGACTCTGGCACTCATCGCTGTGTTTTCAAAATGTTTTCCGTCCACACTGTAACGCAAAGCCGGCATTTTCAACTTCCTCCGGTTTGAAGAGCAATTTTCCAAGACACTCCGTTTTATTACTTTTCTTCCAATGTTCAGGACAAATGCATAGGGGAAGATAATTTGACGATCAATACAACACATTTGAGTGGGGCGCAGATCGCCGGAAATGTCCTGCCTGTCAGACGGTATTAAAAACTCTGACTGGGGCATAGAGAGTCGGTATACTTAAGATATTAGTTACTATATAAGGGCACGAGAACAATGACTATATTACAGCGCGACTACTCAAACAGGGCCACTTGAAAAAGAGTTAACCAATCAGAACGGTACTTGAGAACAAAGGATAGCGATCTTTTTCTCAAATAAACCAATACCTTAACACTGAAAAATACGAACAATAGATCTTAACAAAATTGAAAACCCAACAAAGTGCGAGGTTTGGTGAACATGTCAGGAAACTCTGATTGTTGATTGGTTACTTTCGATCCTAACTTTTGGCTTTTCAAGGGTTTCGGTTTAGTTGTCGCAAAAATGATTTTTCAAGCTATATTTTTTTATCGCGACTTCCAATTATAACAATTCGCCGTCAAGGACTGAATCTCCAAGAGTGTATATAACGCAGAGGAGTCGATATTGTTTATGAATTAGCGTCAAACAGACTGTTACTTGCCGTCACGAGAAGCTACTTGTCCTTTGATCTCAGTTTACGTTTTGATTGGTTAGTTTTCCTCAAGGTGGCCCGGTTCGAGTAGTCGCACTGTAAGGAAACTGTATCTCGAACAAAAACAACAATAACGTTGCTCAAATTTTTGATTTATTCAAAACTGCAGGGACTGCCGTCATGACTCGCCTTTTAATGTATTCTCTACTTGGTATCTGCATCCATGCTCGACCTTTCAGTCAGAGAACGAAGGGCAGCAGTTATATATCTGGAGAAACGAGGGTGGAGGAGAAGGCGAAAGGTGACCTTCGTGTCTCGGAGCTTTCCGAGGGTGATGTCATCTTCGAAATAATGGGATCTCAACGAAAGCCTGCCTGGTGCAAGGTGATAGCCATCTTTCCTGCATCTGCTGATACGAATAAAAACACTCATGACGGCCTTAAAACAGATCACATGGTCACTGTTCACCCCTATAAGAAGGGAGATAAGCGCATGGGTGTGGTATACACGCTAACAACTGATTGTGATGTCTCTGTGAATTCAGCGAGGCATGCCTTTTCACCCATCAGCACTACGTTCTGTCGGGGTGAGCTGACCTGGAGTGACTATATCACTGTGATGTCCGCAATACGAAGAGTCTCCAACCACACTGGATACTTCTGGTTTGACACTACTGGAAATCACGACAACGACACTATAAATGTACCGCATTGGTTCCACAAACTCCACGAGATATGTCGCGAACTTTTGCTATGCGCACGCGATGGCCAATGCAAGTCGTTTGAAGTCATGATGGAAACTTTTGCTCACGAGCATCAGAACAAGGGGTACGTGGAAGTAGTAGAACGAGTTTTTTCCAACATGAGCAGTGACGTGGAAAAACAAAAAGGACAAACCATCACGGATGTGGTTGTTCAACACAGTGGAAATCATACGGTGCCATTCATTGCTGTGGGTTGTGCCACAGGAGTGCTCCTGGTTATTGCGGTTATTATCGTGATGTGCGGCGTACGAATAATGGAGAAAGAAGGCAAAGAGAGCAAAGAAAAATACATTAATGAACACTAGGAATAAAATAGCTTGGCGTCCATATGATCACTGTAATCATTATTTTCGCAACGATTCGCTTTACAGATTTTCTAGCAATCGTTGTAATGATAAACTCCCAGGGGTGTGGATTCCCATTTGAAAAGGTCGGGGATGCTCTCGGGGTATAAATGATGTGTTCTGGTCTCGCTTGGGGTGTTCATGAAGAAACGCCACTATTTTTAGCTGTCAAAGTATCTTTCAGGGTGCACTAATTTAACAAAAACGCTCTTATTTCCATTTTTAGGCTCGATTTCAGCGGTCTCTCGTGTCTGGTCCACCGGCACGGGTTCCTTTCCTGAACAGCAGCTGCAGTAATAGTTCCTATTCTGTTTTAAGTGGCGTCCTTAAGGGGTAAAATAACGCTCGAGCCCCACCCAGATTGGTCTTCTTTAGAGGTTTAATTCAAATTTTCCGACGAGCATCCCCGACCTTGTCAGATGGGAGACCCCTCCGGGGATAACCTGATGTAAAGCCTAACTTGAATGCGCTCTACTGTTGTTCGATCCGGGACACATTGCTAATGACACTACAGCCATCGTGGGAATCGCATGGAAACTGCTCAGCAAGTGAGGATTGGTAAGGATTGTTCAACTTTTTATGCACAGACCGCCACAATCACAACGAAACTAGCATTGAA